TTGAGGAATCCACAACCGGAGCCTTCGGCTAGCCAAAGCCTGACCCGCAAGGCAGCGGGGCGGTGTGCGAAAACCGCAGTCCATTGGGAGCCGGTGTCCAGTTCATCAGATCATACACCCTTCGGACGGGGTCAGACGTCCAAAGTACGCAATACACCTCAATGCCCAATCGAGCCGGTGACCACTGCCACAACCGAAAAGGTGTGGGTGTGGTTTGTACGTCTCCTCATGGTTGGTTTGGAATCAGGGTTTTTGGCCAACTCCCCTAGGTGAACTGCCAGTGGTCCACCAACCCGGTTATAGCCCCGGATATCGGCTTTTCGTCCTCTCACTTTGGTGGGAAAACACCTCCGCCGCGAGAAGGCGGTGAGTAGGGCTTCCTCAGCAGAGGCTATTTGCGACGCTTGGTCGTATGGGAGCATTTCGCGAGGTGCAAGTGAAGGGTGACCAGCCGCAACCCTAGACACCCACCCCCAACCATACTGAGGCCTGTTTATGATTACCAAATCATCGTGTCTGTCACCATCAATCATGTTGGTCACGAGGTCCTCAACCAGGAAGTCTAATCTAACCTTTGAGACCAATTGTCCTGGTCAGGGTTTTCAAGCTCTCATGCCGGATCTCATTTGGTGGTAGACAGGTCTGCTGTCGCCCGGTTCAATACGACGCCTAAACTATCAGGGCCTTATGTGGTTCTCCACTCCAAGTCCCGGGGCTTAGGTTGTCGGTTTCCACCACTGAACGGCAAGTCTTCGTGACTATGGGGTTTACCCCATTTGCCGTTCATCACACTCAGGTGTGTAATAAAAAAAGTTCTAAGCACTTAACCTTCTTTTAACGATCACCCCCCTCGACAGCCATTTCACGTCCATTTAGCCTATCTGATGGCATGCGAATACAAGCAATACAGCAATCTATGGAGGTCAAGCACTTGCGTCAATACGCGACTTCGCTTCCCTAATACTCCGCACCCAGTGTCTGAATTGCTTGTCCGGTTTTCCTCTCGGACTTATGCGACATGCTTTGAGTCTGTTTCTCTCTTGCTCCCGTTACGGCATGTTTTCATCATACAGAGACAATTCATCGATAAGCATCCCCCGAACAAACAGGTCCCATTTCATAGTCGAACAAAAGATCTCACTCTGTAGCAATAAAAGCTCGGCCCTTAAACGGAATGCTGAAGCTGCGACTTTGCCACAATGTGTTCAAATAAGTCTTTACCGCTTGGGCTTGATTGATGTGCACGTTAATCTGAGCGACCGCTGTGACAACACTCAAAATGGACACTTCAACAACCCCCAACCGATTACCCAAAAGGGTAAAAACAGAGGTCGTTTCCGAAGAACTGTGGAAGTGAGTAGCTGAAACAGTACAGGAGCAAGATTAATTTCTCGTCTGTGGGAGCCTTTTTTAAACACAAGAAAGACATTTCTACCCCATTTAAATGAGATGATCTGTTTTATTACCTTGGTCACTCAAAAGAGCTGGCAAAAGTTCGTCTAGACCAAATGTTGTATCATTTCCGAATACACTGGGGACGAAAGATTTCGTCTTTAGTAGTTTTTGGTACACCCGCAATCCTTGCCTTACAGTGACTGTCAGAGGACAGGTATGTTTGTTTAAGTTACCGTTGTAAATACCCTGTCCAACATCCAGGTCAACGTTCTAAGTTGTGGATTTGTTCATCGCTCGATTCAAGAATCATATCATTCACAAATTGAAAAATATTATCGGTAACTGGTGCTAGTTGGGAAAGCGTTGACCAAAGCAGGGGTTTACTGTATTATAAAAGGTGATCAAGGTTTTCCAGCTCCCGTAGACAAGCTAAACAAGCTCATCAACCCGGACATTGATCCTCTCACTTTGGTGAAAGCACCTGAGTCCTGAGAAGGCGGTGCGTAGAATTTTCCTGACAGATGCCTTGAAAAGCGCACTCCATCAGAACATTTCATGGCACAAGAAAGAGGCCTCCGACACCCTCTTAGAAATTAAGGTTTTTCAAGACCTGCACATAAAAATATGATGGAACTCAGTAGTTTTCATTATCATTTTCTTTGGAAATGTGGCTTTGATGAACGCTGAATACGCAATAATGTTCATCAGTATATCGTTTATTTTTCTTGCAGAGACTTGTAACTTAATGTTACAGCGTATTTCCCCGTCTCAGTGCCACAATCAGTGGGAGCGAGGACGAATAGAACAAACAAGCACCACTTACCAGTCACTTTGTTTGATACCGTCACGGAACAATCTAACCGTACGGCACTGAATCGTCTGTTGAATAGGTCCCAATCAATTAGTGCTTTTTCTGCATGTNCCAGCCGAACTGGTAGCCTGGGCATTTCATTCCCTCGAAGAGTGTTCGGTGAATAAGCTGTTGGTCTGTTTGAGGGGAAAGTGAACTGCAACCTTGTCGTGGGCCTACATGCCTGTCTCAAGAAGTCAACAAGGATTTGCGCTAAGTTTCTAATGTACTGCAGGCTCTGCGTGCGAGCTCATTTGAATAAAATTATGGACATCGAAGCTTTGTGTCTTTAATTGTAAGTGACTTGGCGGTAGCGGTTCACGAGCACTGTGATTGCTTGCTCTGGATTTTCGTTTTTTGTCGATGTTACGTGTACTTGCATAACACTATTTGAGAATGGGTAAAAACGAGGCAAAAT